CCCCAAAACCCCAAAACCCCAAAACCCCAAAACCCCATAGAGAGGTTTGTTTATTGATTAGACTGACTCTACTGGGTTTCTGATAAATATTTTGATATTTCTTCTCTGAGAGCTACAAAGACCAAGCCTTGGCCTCACCCTGGGTTCAAGATCTCTGCTAGTGTATTCCTGGTCACTGAGGGATTGAGAGATGTCTTCTTTGGAATTCCCAACTTCTTGGTCCTTCTTTAGACATGTTTCGGGGGTAGTCCTTGTTTGAAAATTCCTACTAATATCAGGATTTTCTCCATAATCATTAACTTTTACTTTCTTTTCTTGATTTTTTGAGTTATTAATATAAAGTCCTGGAAAATTTAGATTTTCCATTGTTTTATTCATTCTTCTCTTCAGCTTATGTTGTGAGTGGACCATTCTTTGTGCTCTAAATCCTCCCTTCTCCGGGCTATGACAGAGATTCATCCTTGATTTGAATTTCCAGAGCTTCGTACGATACGATTTAGTAAATTGGTTAAGACTAGAGAACCCGCTGCTCGCTATCTCTTTGTTGTCAAACTTGATTACTTCGATAGGTTTAATTTCGAACATATTCTCCTTGAACTCATAAAAGCCATTTGCTATATTATTAGTGGAGATATCTTACTATGCTGTGTAGTCCTTGCTGGGGACAAACTCAGTGTATGTGATGTGGATAACCTTTCATAATTACTAATATTAGATTTATTTACTTATATAACTCTCTTTTTGATTACCAGCCTGAGCCTTTGCAGAAGCATCCTTACTAGGATGCTTCTTGCTTCCCAGTCTCTTTTTCTTCCTCCGAGTATAATCAGAAAGTCCTTTTTTAAAGGAATATTGGGTCATTGGGAGCAGTTGGAGTATATCAATTTTTCCATTTTTTCGTTTTTCAAAATTCATGCATGCTTTTATCTTGGAAATTAGCTCCGTATTTGACTTCCCAGAGGTCTGGGTGCAGGATTTCTCCTTAGTTTTTGAGTTGAATAGCTTGATCCTCTTAGATCTGATACAGTTTTGCAGGTCCTGAATCTGCGTCTTGGGCACTTTGTGCTTCATTTCTTTTTATTCAATAACTTGAAAGCTAAAAGGGGTTTTGGGGTTTTGGGGTTTTGGGGG